ATTGAGTCCCAAGCGACGATAACACGCGCTAAAAACGCAAAGGCTCATGGGTAGATGTTTGTTTGTAAACAACGACACGTTATGGCCATTTGACGCATGCGCAGGTGACGACACCCCGCTTTAATCAATCAGCGTTCCTGAAACAACTTGAATCAATTACACATATTAACCAATAGATTGCGCCGTCTTTTTAACCGACAAAACACAGACTTGACGTTCGTTTTCCTTTGGAAACACGTCACACTACTTTACGTCCTGTTCTTTTTGCCATGGAAACGCACCAGAGCCCGTTTATTCAGTGTGAATTCTGCCAAGCTATAATGGCTGGCGAAGATGATTAGGGGTTGACCATTTGATATCCTGGGGGAGGTGGGCAGGAAGATTTTGTGAAAAAAAATTCTATGACAATGGTTGAAAAAAAATTCTACACTATATGCTGAAAAAAAAATCCACATCAGATAGGGGAAAAATTAAGCTTCATTTCAATCTTCCTGGCCCACCTAGATATCAAATGGTCCGCCCCTTAGTACCACGCTGTCGCCCGGGGCTATATAGTACCACGTTCCATGTGTTTTATTTTCAGTAAGATTTCGTAATCATAACGAACGCAGGCGTTTTGAGAGACGACTTAATTTGTACAACAGCTGTGGTTCAAATTATTTGAATTATGGTCAACATAATTTACATAAACAACATGTGACAATAGTCTCTCTCTTATCAAATATCTAATCGTGTTTTCTCTTAGGACGAATTGCCCGTCACGGACAAATAAAATACCCAGGATGGCATAGATGTCACTGTTGATTACGAGTCGGATCCATGACCCCTTGAAGGTCACACATCCTGGTACTTTCCGGGGTTATTGTTCGCCAATAACGGCAATCATTCTTATATTCATTCCTTTTTTTCCCAGGTTTGTTTCAACTTTAATTAAAACCGATCGCATTAATTGTTTGGCGGGTTCCCATTCATTTTAAAAGTACCAGGGTATGTGATACTTGGAGGTCATGCGCAAGGCATATTTCTGATTGTACAGAGTACTATGTCTACTCTTTTCCAGGCCAGAGGTTCTGATTTGCATATCGCTTTCTCTCATCGAATTGAATATACAAGACTGTTAGTTTTTTTTTTTGATTTTCTTTTATTCCCGGGAGCGAACATTTAAGCATTTTTACTGCATGGCAACCACAACCGGCGACTCTGTCGAAACCATTCAAAACATTGTATTTCGGGCTAGTTGTTGAAACCGGAGAGCTGTCATGAGGCCAGACTACCCCTACATATGTAACACATTTAAATTTCGTTGTTCAGGATTACTTCAATGTTGAGTTTGTGCCATCTTCTCGACTTTGCCGTTTTCAGCGGCTCTTCGACCGGCATCTCACAACAGTTCGTGCAGAGACCACAAGAATACATTGTACAGTGGCACGCATCTTAGCAACATGGCACGTTTTGCCCCCGAGAATAAAACCACAAAGCCGTCTTTTCTTTCGTTCTATGGCATTGGATTTGCAATTAATGACGAACGTTCTGGTTGCTATGAAGGTTATGTTTTTTTTTTTTTTAAATGAAATAGAGACTAAAAGGATGTGGTAATTGTGGGGACCTTATTCAGAAAATGGCGTACTAGTATGCACGACCATGAAGCGAGGAAGGCGACATAGAATACAAACTTTCACTCCGGGAGCCGGCCAAATTCCGAGAGCACGATAAAGTGCCTATTGAAGACAAGTACGATAATTGTGTGTTTCGTGTTCGAGAGTAAGATTAAGGTCTACCATGCGACACAAAACACCTAACCTGATTGGACAATAGTTCGAGCGACTGTATTATGGATAGTAATTGAATGAGACAGAGGGACTGTAAATGAGAGTACAATGGCGAGTTTTAACACCTTCGAGTGAGACGAATTGGTTTGAGCGAGACCACTTGGGTCTTGTAAGATGAATCAGGTGTGGGTAGAGATTAACAGGGTTGAGTGAGATGGCTTGTGTTTAAAAGAATGAATCTGTTCACATAAGGTAACAAATTGGAGTACTGTAAACAACTTTATTTTCGCTGGAATTAATTTCCGCTGAAAAGAATTTTTGAGTGTTTCGTATGGTTTATTTTCACTGATATTTGGCAATTTTAACGTAAAATATAGGAAAAAGGGTATATTTGCTGGAATTTTATTATCACTGAATCATTCCTTCAGCAAAAATTAATTCCAAACAAAAATAAAGTATTCTACGGAGCAATTTTGAAAAATAACACCAAGACTCACAGGATTGAAACAAGTTTATTTTCTGAACACGGCCTCAATACATTTTTCCTTTTTAAAAGTATCCCGAATTTAACAGACTACTATTTGTGACTATTTAAAGTAGTCACAAAATCCCCCAAAATTTAAATCTTTATTTTTAGGAATCAAAACTAAGACACATTATAATGAATATCATTACAACATGTATTGTTTTAATGTAAATTAACCTTTGAACAGCTTTCAATAAAAGTGTGGCAATGACGCAATTAAGAACCAATCAAAACGCAAGCTGTGATGGAAAACTGCATTCGATTGAATAATATCCATCAGCATAATGTTAGCCCTCTTGTAATTGGACATACAACTGAAGGACAAGATGGGAATGATAATGGTGGGACTCCCATGATGCACCACAATTGTACGGGGTTTCTCAATTTGAATATAATGGAGTGGCTATTTGTTATGCGAATATTTCATGCAGGTTTTCACCCCAAATGCTTTGACACATGTCGTTTAAGTTGTGTTATTTTTAGCAGACCCCCAAAACCCACCTAGTTATCAAATCTGGAACCCCTGTTCTCAACCTCCAGTTGTCAACATCACACAAATCATTGCTACACAAGCCCACGTACTTAACCTGTGGAGCACTATAATTTTTTTCTCTCAAAATTTTGCCTTGATTTTTACACATTCTTCTTATAATGAACAGTCGGCTAAATTTTTTTTTTAAGTTATAAAGGCACAACATTTGTGAATGAAAACAGTTTACTTCGGAACTCAAATGTTAATTTTAGGTACACGACCTGATAAGGTCACAGATCCTTGCACACTCTCGGGGCCAATTCACAATGCAAGCATTTCTTCAAATCTAATCAATTCCATGGCTGGAATATTTTGGAACAAATAAATTTGACTGTTCTTTATGCAACATTGCCACTTCTTTGAACGGCACTTAAGGAACCCCATGCTTTATATCTAGATTAATAAAAACGCTTTACCACACGACAAAATCCTGCAAATCCTAAGCACAATAAAGCTAGTCTTTGATAGAGCTTATTTGATTGGTTCAGGAGACTGAGCACTTGCTTGACTACCAAATCACAAACTGAGTTACATCTCACCCAAGTTAACACTACAAGAGAAATACCTTGATTGGTTCATCCCGAGAAGACTGTCCAATCTGCAGATTTCATTGAGTACAGTAGAATCCATCAGCGAATCGGCTTGAAAGGAAATTGTGGAGATTTTGATCTTAAAGGCCCTGCAAAAGATCCCTGGGATGCTAATTTCCATTCAGTAGATTAAGTGGATGGTAATGGGGAACTACTAAATTTTGCGAAACAGTAAACCACGTTTGCTACTAAGAATTTGATCAATTACTAAATCGTGTTCAGGAAAATTTTGTTATTTGAAAGTTGAACTGCTGCCAAATTATCACCAACTTCCCAAATTTATTCGAGCCAACGTACAACGGCAAATAGTATTTTAAACTTGCATAAGGGACCCAATATCAAACCAGACTAGTAAACTCCCTTAAATTAATTGGACGAAGAGTTCTGGGAAAGGGTTCCACTGTACCTCACTGCTTCCGCAGACTTCCTGGAGATTGGATCATAACCAGGATGACTGGATCAGCTGAACTGGAATGCATTTCTCAAGCAAGTCAATGGAGCAAGACTCTGAAGTTAAGGGGCCCTGATGAAGTTAGTTGCAAACTGCTAATCTGTACGAGAGTCGCATTATTTTGTTAGCGCAGACTTGTTGCCAAACTGTGCTGGATTGGCACGAGTCGCGAGTGAACCATGAAGTGATTTGAAACAAATGTCGCACGATTTTGTTAGCGCAGACTTGTTGCCAAACTGTGCTGGATTGGCGCGAGTGAACCATTAAGTGATCCGAACAAAAGTCTCTTGGTTGACAGATGGCTGTATGCAAAAGAAATTTACTAGATTTTGTTAAACGTTTAAGCATTGTCTACACAAGTGCTGCACGACAAAATAAATCGTCATCCACAAGCCAAATTGGTCTTAAATCATATTGAGACAAAATAACTATTTGGTACCAGCACTCTGGGGCATTGTATCTTGCACTGGGATTACCTACCAGCCAATAAAAGCCAAGGTTTCGCCCGGGCCCAATCAAGAAAGCTGGTGACTTATTAGTAAATGGCCAATTAGCCTGTAGTCGTGGAATTAATACACACCTAGATATTTTTACTTTTATCAGTTGGTATCTAAAAGTTCACAATGGCTCAATATCGCAAAATGACGCTTATAATTTCATAGCGCGAACCGAAATGATCGATCAAGAGATGCTTCCTCTAACAAAATGATTTGATACCACAAATTCGTACAGTTACGTCAGATTAGCAGAGGTGTTCACAGAAATAATCATCAGGGGGTTATTAAAAACGAGCTTTATTGACGTAAATGACTAGAATATATTACATACAGGACATTTGACATTATTTTAAGAAGGCTGACAATTTTATCTGTATACTCAATCACAGCCAGGGTGGGAAAACATTACATAGTCACTGTGTGTTCAATCATTTAAAAAATAAAATTTAAGTACAATGTTTTGTATTTCTCTGTTCAAAGAATCGAGATGCTTTAAAAATACAGGTGTCTGCCATTATGCGTCAAGCAGTTAACCAATCAAAACACGCTTGGCGGAAGTATATTTGGTACATTGTGTCAGTGGTTTGTGAAGAATTGTTCAACATGATGAAAATTTGATAGAGTGTGCCACCTACCATGTGGTTGTAAATCTTTTCAGCCCTTACGAAATAGAATTATTTTATTTTGTATATTCAACAGCCTCTGAAGTAAAATTGCATATTCGAAATAAAAGCAATCCACATCGCTTCACAAGAACTGGTGCAAACCGGTTTGAACTGGTTCAAACTTGTATTAAAGCAAATGACCCATTTTAATAATTAAAATAGTCTTCCACAAAAAACAAACAAAACTTGCACAAAAAATAAAATAAAACCAGATTTAGAAATCTACACGTGATTGTTAGAACACACAGTGACAGTGCATTAAAACAAACCTTCACAGCTGAGTGATACAATGTATAGACTCCGAGACAAGCCCAAGTTTTAAAATTTCATAATCTTTATATGGTCAAGAAAATGTAAAAGTTGTATGGGGCTAACAAGATTAGAATTCTTGATTGTTGCGAAATCGTTTATTTGCTGAAAGAACATAATTTTAAAAACCCCAAACTGTCTCGCATTTGATTGCTTAGCAGTAATTTTTAAAATTTTTTCAACTTTCACAGCTGACATTTTTATTAAAATTTTTTCAGTTGCTATAACCCCCCCCCCCCCCAGGACAATATTTGCTAAAGCATGATAGTCCCCAGAACACCTAAGAGATATTCACTGCCGCAAAATTGTTCAATTTTCACCGATTTATGAAATTGTCTCAGGAAATTAAAGTCGTTTACAGTATTGAAAAGATCAGAATAAAAATGAACATGGATTGAGAGGTCAGAGGTCAATTATGCCCCGAAAAAATTTGAAATGAAATGAATGTACAAGACTGGCTTCACCAATGGTCTGGCTCTGTAAACCCACTCCTTGGCTGGAATTATTTAAATTTGGATATACACAAACCGGCAAATCTATACTTGTATACATTACAAATAAAGTTGAAAATTCTCGTCAATATTCGCTAAAAATCGACTCTTCCGGGATGCGGATTTGTTGGGTTCGCAGCTCAAAAATACGACTCCAATTTACCACGGCGACGAATATCGGACGTCCAGCAGTGGAAACCACCTCCAAGGGAATTGGCATGACGGATAGAGATAGGAATCGGCTTAATTCCTAACTTCTCAAACATCTTCATGGTGGGAACTTCATTGGCATCACAGATGACGCGCTTTGAGTCCAACATTAAGACATTCATAGACAACCATTTGGAAGACATCCACAACGGATGGGCTGTAATAGAAAAAAGACATGGAAATGAACACCTAACACAGCCCCTAGTAACCCCTCTAACCATGGCCACCCTCCTTTCAAGCCTCTCGTCACCCCATCCCAACTTCTCGCAAACTCAAACACAGCCTCTCGCCGCCCCACTCCACGAACAGCCCTTGCCGCCCCACTGCACGAACAGCCTCTCGTCGCCCCACCGACAAACAGCCTCTCGTCGCCCCACCAACAAACAGCCTCTCGTCGGCCCACCCACAAACAGCCTCTCGTCGGCCCACCCACAAACAGCCTCTCGTCGGCCCACCCACAAACAGCCTCTCGTCGGCCCACCCACAAACAGCCTCTCGTCGGCCCACCCACAAACAGCCTCTCGTCGGCCCACCCACAAACAGCCTCTCGTCGGCCCACCCACAAACAGCCTCTCGTCGGCCCACCCACAAACAGCCTCTCGTCGGCCCACCCACAAACAGCCTCTCGTCGGCCCACCCACAAACAGCCTCTCGTCGGCCCACCCACAAACAGCCTCTCGTCGGCCCACCCACAAACAGCCTCTCGTCGGCCCACCCACAAACAGCCTCTCGTCGGCCCACCCACAAACAGCCTCTCGTCGGCCCACCCACAAACAGCCTCTCGTCGGCCCACCCACAAACAGCCTCTCGTCGGCCCACCCACAAACAGCCTCTTGTCGGCCCACCCACAAACAGCCTCTTGTCGGCCCACCCACAAACAGCCTCTTGTCGGCCCACCCACAAACAGCCTCTTGTCGGCCCACCCACAAACAGCCTCTTGTCGGCCCACCCCAACCTCTTGTCGGCCCACCCCAACCTCTTGTCGGCCCACCCCAACCTCTTGTCGGCCCACCCCAACCTCTTGCCACCCCACTGCACGAACAGAATCACCCCACCCCAAACACAGCCTCTTGTCACATGCTTGCCCTTCCTCATCAACTAAATGTGTGTTGCCCTTTCTAAACACAGACCCAGTTACCCAAATAAACACACGATGGTTATTGGTTAATACACTAATACATCCGAAATCAATCTAAACTCTTATTACCCTGGTAACCCCACTAGACTAGACTTGTATTCCTAAATTTACACAACCATATTCTCAGTCTCCTTTGAAGACAGCTACTGAATAAACAGTTTTGTTTTATTCAAAGACTTGTATTCAATTGCAGCCACTAAAAATCTACGACTGAAGCATAAACTAGTACACAATCACACACCAACATGAACATATTTGGCACAACACCACCCACACATGACAAAAAACAAATAGATTTTGGGGCATAAACTGTAAAAGGCTTTATTTTCATTTGGAATTCATTTTCCCTATTTTAATTCAATGCACACAAAATGTAGTGAATATTTTTTTTTTTTATGTTTTACATTTATGTAGCCATAATTCCAGGGAAAAAAACAGCCAAAATGTCTTGAGTGAAAATTAATTCCAGCTAAAATAAAGTATTTTAGGAGACAACTCAAAATATTAAAATAAAGAATTTTACTCACTATCAGGGATGTCCGGGATAGGTGGATGAACAACAGTCCAGCCAGCCCTCTTAAACATTTCAATCTGGTGACAAGGTCGGTCCGGATTGGATAAGACCAGACCAGGTCCAATGATGTTGAACGTAGCATCAATATGCATGGGGTTTGGATCCTTGAATGATATTACATGAACATTGTACTGGTCACCAAGATGACGTCTCACCCACTCAATACCAAAGTAATTGGTAACCTGTAAAATAATTGAGAATAACGTGAACAACGATGACTAAGTACAGACTGATGCCCATTCAATACCAAGCGTAATTGGCAACCTGTAAGATAATTGAGAGCAACGTGAACAACGATGACTAAGGACAGACTGATGCCCATTCAATACCAAGCGTAATTGCTAACCTGTAAAATAATTGAGAGCAACGTGAACAACGATGACTAAGGACAGACTGATGCCCATTCAATACCAAGCGTAATTGCTAACCTGTAAAATAATTGAGAGCAACGAGAGCAACGTGAACAACGATGACTAAGGACAGACTGATGCCCATTCTATACCAAGGGTAATTGCTAACCTGTAAAATAATTGAGAGCAACGTGAACGACGATGACTAAGGACAGACTGATGCCCATTCTATACCAAGGGTAATTGCTAACATGCAAAGATAAACAGAAGACGTAATTGCGAACAAGAACGACAAAGATCAACGACAGAGTACATTGAACAAAGTTGCATGACAATCAAAATTAGAGTAATCAATAAGTGACCTGGTCACAACAAATTTGAAATGTAACTTGAAATTTAAACTATTTAGAGAATTGGTTTTCTTGGTGGAACGTTTTACAAATTTTCCTCAAAGATCGCCGATAAAACAAGACATAAAATTTAATTACTGAGAAGAGTTTGTTTTTCCCTGTCACAGTTATTCAGCAAAGTGCTATTACCAATACTTAAGTCAACTAAACGAAACCTAATCAGTGCTGAAAATACCAGCAAGCCAGACAATCCTGTCTGAAGTGGGCGTAATTCAATTTATGATTAAGCACCTGACGAGTTTCGACTGCATTCAAGCCTGTAATATAAAGGCTGCAAGGTAGTGGACATCTGACCTTGCTAATAAAAGGGATGAACAATTTATCACAATGTTTTGTCTCAAAAGTACAGCTTCAGTTAAAACATAACTTTTAGCTGGTTTAAAACTAGCTTTATAGCCAGCTTTCAAAGCCACATATCTACAGTACAGTCCAAGCATAACTTTACATTTAGATTTTAGCTGGTTTAAAACTAGCTTTATAGCCAGCTTTCAAAGCCAGCTTTCAAAGCCACATATCTACAGTACAGTACAAGCATAACTTTACATTTAGATTTTAGCTGGTTTAAAAGTAACTTAGCTTGCTTTCAAAACCACATATCTACAGTACAGTCCAAGCATAACTTTACATTTAGATTTTAGCTGGTTTAAAACTAGCTTTATAGCCAGCTTTCAAAGCCACATATCTACAGTACAGTCCAAGCATAACTTAACATTTAGATTTTAGCTGGTTTAAAAGTAACTTAGCTTGCTTTCAAAACCACATATCTACAGTACAGTCCAAGCATAACTTAACATTTAGATTTTAGCTGGTTTAAAACTAGCTTTATAGCCAGCTTTCAAAGCCACATATCTACAGTACAATCCAAGCATAACTTTACATTTAGATTTTAGCTGGTTTAAAACTAGCTTTATAGCCAGCTTTCAAAGCCACATATCTACAGTACAGTCCAAGCATAACTTAACATTTAGATTTTAGCTGGTTTAAAAGTCGCTCAGCTTGCTTTCAAAACCATGTATCTACAGTACAGTCCAAGCATAACTTAACATTTAGATTTTAGCTGGTTTAAAAGTCACTCAGCTTGCTTTCAAAACCATGTATCTACAGTACAGTCCAAGCATAACTTAACATTTAGATTTTAGCTGGTTTAAAAGTCGCTCAGCTTGCTTTCAAAACCGTCGCAACTAAATTGAGTACTCCGTCTACACATGTCTCGATTTAGGGACGACGTCGAAAGATCAATGTCAAATAAAAAACAGGCGTCAATTTGAAAATTCATTGTCTATTCTTGTTCGTGATTGGTCCTGGCAATGATCAGGGGGGGGGGGGAGATCGTGACGTACCTCCGTCTTTAAGAATTAACTTGACTAGAAGAAAGGGTTAGCAATAGGTGATTTTCCCGAACAATTGCGAGATCTCGCGAGATGCATGACAGACGCGCGTCGAACGTCTGCCGCAAAAATCAAACGGTTTAATTTTGAGCTCGAATTTCTTTATTTCGTAGCTCACATCGACCGGCCGATCTTCGACAGGAATATTGCTTCCGAATACCCTCACTTAGTCGAAATTGCCTATCATCAAATGTGGACAGCACATTATTAAGCATGGAAATGTCCCCAAAATACTTTCGCATTTGTCGAATCCCACGCGATGTTTGACGCGACTACGACGCTATGACCTTTGTTTGTCCTGTTTTTACGTTCGATTTCACGCATAATGCGTGATTCTCGCAGTGTACGGAAAATGGTCTATTGATCAACCCAGTGAATTGTTGATTGTTTAAAAACAAGGCAAACTACTAGTACTCCTTTTGAGAAAAACATTTTAATGGAAACATTTACATCTTTTTAATTTCATGATGAAAAAGCAAGCACCTGAATTGATGTAAAATTGCCGTGTTACCTAATCCTAGATTTGAGTTGATTGTCAGTGACAGCTGCATACATACAGCAGAATAATTAAAAGTTGAGATCCATTCCTGAGATTCCTCATTCTCAGTCTCTAAGATAGTGAAATACAATACCACAAAATCATGCCACCGGTAAAATCTTTAAATAAATCTATATTTCATGATTACAGTTATTAGAAAGCACAGGTGCGACACTTCCTGCTTACATTTAAGTAAAAAATTTGGCTTTCACAGTTTTATGCGAGGTAGACCATTGAAAATAGAGTATGCCATTTGTATGTTGGTAAACTGTTACCAGCAACACAAAGCATACTTTATAACTTGCATTACGTTGCTGTGGGGAACGATAGAGCCAAGCCAATTATGAGCACAGTTGCCATGGATACAAAGTATGTTTGGTATAATCTAAATCAAAGCTAACCAATCTTAAGAAACTTCTGCTTTTTTTTTTAGGTGACCATATATGGTCATATACTTGTCATAATATTGTGACACTATTCTGGGGGATGAACAATTGGGTCAATTGCGAAGTTGTCATGGATACTAGATCTTTTAAATCAAGAGGGCACAGAATCCAGTCATAAATTCCATCGTCTCCAGAGGTTACCAAATATTATGCCGACATTTGTTTGAAATCTGTACTTTACGATCACCAATTAAATTTTATTAGTAGCGTTGATAGACAAAAAAAAAATGTCATCAATAATAGAACTTAGCAACATTTATATGCAATGTTGTTTTAAGCAGGGTCCATAGCACCAAAAGCCAAATGATTTCTAAGACTTTTTTAGAGACCTTTTCCCAAACTTTCTGCCCCACCACCAAACATTTTGACCCTTAATTCGGGCATGCCCGAAGGCATGGAGATAGCAATCACTGCCGACACTTGTCGGAACTGGGGTAGAAAACGCTTTATAAAAAGAGACTATGCAGAGAAAACTGGCCTTTCTAAAATGATTTACCGGTAATAACTGAAGAAATTTAAAGACTTTTCAAAGAAGTTTTTATTTTTCCTGTAATTTAAAGACAACCTAAAGACTTTCCAGACCTCAAAAAATCCAAAGACTTTCCAAGGATTTTCCCGTTTAAATGTCACATTGTCCATTATCAAAATATTGTAGATTTTAGACTGACTAGAAAATTTGCTTTAGTAGTCTATGAACCGACTATGGTTTTAGTATGGATTCAGTAAACAACCAAAGTGATTTTTGGATTAAACGAGATTTGACCAGCATTGTGGTACTTACAATTTCCTATTAGTCACAAATCATGATTATGCTATTTTTTTTTTTTAGTAAAAGATGCAAAAAAAAAAAAAATTTTGTAGAAATTTCCCAGCTTAGTTTTAAATATAAATTTAATAGGTAAAAGTGCACAAGATCTTGTTATGAGACTACTATAAGAAAGGAATTTGAACCGCCTCTGGCATTGTTTAGAAGCGCATCTCTAATAGCAGCACATATAAAACAAAAATTGGCTGTATACTAAATCATATTAATTATTTTACAATAAATTTTTAATTTACATTAGCAAATGGGGTTCAACTGTAAAAGGGTTAATTATTTACTGGGTTTTAATTTTGCTTATTTCGCTGACTGGAAAATGCGCTAAATTAAAACCCAGTGAATATGTAAAATTTAGCATAGAACTCGTCATCTAAATGATAAAACCGTAAATCAGCGAAATTTAAACCCAGTGAAAATTAGTCATTTTACAGTATTCAAGAATTTATTTACAATTAGTTTGCGCGAGGTAAAACTGCCGCCACCGTCCCTGAAAGTCATTTTACGAGTTACCCAACAATTTACAGACAAAAGAATTTTTAGTACGCAATGATTCAAGATAGATGGTTTTGTTTCAACCAGATTAACCTTTCTTCGTAAATCACAGCCAGCAATGAAATACTGGTTATCCACACACGAATGTAGTTATTGGATACTCAACTATTCACGGTTTTCAATATACTGTAAAATGACTAATTTTCACTGGGTTTAAATTTCACTGATTTACCATTTCAGGCATATTCAGTGGGTTTTAAATTCACGGTTTCGTCATTTAGATCGTGTGTTCTATGCTAAATTTTACATATTCACTGTGTTTTAATTTAGCGCATTTTTCCAGTCAGCGAAATAAGCTAAATTAAAACCCAGTGAATAATTAACCCTTTTACAGTAGCTATTTTTGACAATACGTGAAAATCTGCTAAATTAAACACCCACACAAACATGTGAAATAACAATGAAGCTCATTGTTTTTCAAAATTTTTTCAACTTAAAAACTAAAACAGCGAGATACTCCAAAACATCAATACAGTGAAACTAAATGTCTGAAAATTAAAAATTTCACAGTAAATTTAGTCTACAAATAACAGAACTTTACTTGCTTTTCACAAGATGCTAGAAAATTCTTTTGTAAAGTGAATTCAATTTAGTTTAATGAAATAAACTTTCTTCTAATAGCCTATGAATCAATTCAAAACTGATTTAACAATTATGCAAATTAGCTGATTAACATTCGGATAATCAAGTAGTATTAGATATTTGACTACAAAAACAGTTTCTATGTACAAAGATTCAGCTTCTGAAATACGATTTCATCAAAACATGCTGAAATTAGATAAAAATAGTATGCAAATTACCTAATTATTATGCATAAATTTGTTCAAAGTATCTGTACAAAAATTCAGCAATTCTTGAGATAATGGCATAACAAATACAAAAGAGTTTGTCCAAGACAGACTGACGGACGGACGGAAGGACAGACAGTGACACGGGATTCCGTTTTGACTACAAATTCAGTCGTGTTAAAAAGATGCACGTACCTGACTTCTTTGGGCAAAGATGTCACGACCAGCTCGGATGAAATCAGCTGCATCAAAGCAAGGCTCAAATTCGGTAGTTACGAACTTGCCCTGGGCAGCTAGTTTATGACGATCTTGAACATTAGATATTGGGTAATCCTGAAAAAAAAAAAAAAAAAAAATTAGTGATTAATTGTAAAACCGAACAAGCCACACATGCAATTTTCTGTTGACGGATGATACAATGAGGCCAAACAAAGTCACAATGATTTATGAAATTTTTTAAACATGAATTCCAATGTTCTCGAAAACTTCATGTTTTACAGCAAGGAGGAATGAAGTTCTTATTCAGGTGACCCTTGACCCGAACCTGATATCTTGACATTATGCAAATTCATTTCGTCTTTAATATGATTGGTTCAATAATTCGTACGAGAAGTATCATAGCACAAATTAATGTTGCACTTGTAGATTACTGTGGAATACTTTATTTTCGCTGAAAAGGCTTTTTGGGCATTTTGCTTGGAATTTATTTTCACCGATTTTTGATGAGATTAATGTAAAAAATAGAAAAAAATGTATATTCGCTGGATTTTATTTTCACGGAATCATCCCTTCAGCGAAAATAAAGTATTCTACAGTATACCTAGAGCTTTATTAGAGGTCTCAAGATTCTCATTGCAAAAATATTTGTCACCTGTGACGTTTTACCACCCTCTACAAGAAACATTTTGTGAGTGACAAATTCTGGCAATTTGTACGGGATTTATTTTCATTGAATAATCCTTACAGAGAAAATGAATTCCAAGTAATAAAACAGTTATTTACAGTAATTTATACTATCACATTTCATAATGTATACTCCCAAGAGGGGAATAAAACTGAAATGAAAGCAATAAGTTCACTTACATGATCATAGAGGTCATCAGACATTTGAGGTTTCGGAGCAGTGGTCCAGCGAGCTCCTTGACGGAAATACTCCTTAATGATGGGACGATATGCCCGATACTCAAAGAATCGAGCTCTCCATGCCATGGGCGCCTCAATGATCTCATCCCCAATGACTAACAGGAAGTCACGAGGCATTGCAGCGTACATTCCTGGAAACGAATGAAATAAAACGTTAATGTAGAACAATGGTAGACTAAAAGTAGAGCTTAGGATGGGGTGGGGGTTTAAAAGTTCATTTAGTGTCGCGTTTCAAATTTTCAATGAGAAACTAAGCAAAACTCTGACTTGATGCATTATGCTTGAGAAACAAGCAACATAGAAAGTGGAAATGTGCATAGTATAAGGGTTTCTACTTTTCCAATTTCCCAAAAAAATAGGGGGTCTCCGATTACGTTTCCCACTATCAATTATAATGATTGACCGTCGTGTCACTTAGGAAGCAATGTAAACAAAGAATGAAATTCCAGTACAGAGGTTTCAATTTTTCAAATTTCAAAAAAAAAATTTAGTTTTTTTGAGAGTCTACGTGTTGTGAATAAATTATGTTTACTAAACTTAATATTCACTGATTGACTGCCACTAAATACATATAAATACAGAATCCAGTTCTCACCGGTGGATTTGAAATCAGGAGTTGTATATTCCTTGGAGTGATCCAACAATGCCGGACGGCGAACCGTTACTCCTTCTTGCTCAAGCACATTACAAAATGTCTCAATTTCAGCGGCTGCTTTGGCCATATGGGCCGCAGGGAAGGGCTGCCCACCGTGGGATTGATAGAAATCCCAATGCTGCTCGTAGGTGTTGGCCTGAAAAAAAAATTATGTAAATTAGCTAATTAGTATGCAATTTTCAAATGGTGAAAAGTTGCACTAGCTCCAACCAAAGTCAAGTTAGGGAACAGAGCCAGGAATCGTTTCTACTTGCATACACTGCAGAGTATTAAGTGTGGCATATATTAAACTGCGGTGGTCGTTATGCCACGTATATGCAATATTTGTGTTGATAAACATTGATTTTCCCACAAATTATGTAAATTAGCTAATTAGTATGCAGTTTTCAAATGGTGAAAAGTTGCACTAGCTCCAACCAAAGTCAAGTTAGGGAACAGAGCCAGGAATCGTTTCTACTTGCATACACTGCAGAGTATTAAGTGTGGCATATATTAAACTGCGGTGGTCGTTATGCCAC